AATCCCTTTACCAGTTTACATTCAGAAATATTTGAATTTTTTTTTTTGGTTAGGTCAGACAGAAGAGGAAAAAAAGGGTTGCATCTCCTCCACCAGGCGAGGACTACACAAAAATTATCCTTTGCCTCAGTGGTAATAAGAAAATTGGCAGGTGGTTTAGGCCAAATGCTTTATTCCAGGTACATTGGAGTACTCATATTTATGTACCCAGAATGTCACAGTTTTGGAGAAATTACTACTGATTCAGGTTGAAATTATAACCATCTGCTAGTTTATTAACTCAATTGACTAAATTAAGCACTGGTAATCCCCTAAGTACAGTCTCACTAAGGGGAAAAAGCAGATGATCATGACTTTCACTAACACACTCATGGATTTTCCTTGTTTGCTATCTTATGGCTAGGTCATGATTCCTGAGTGCATTATGCCACCACCATAACAATGCCACCTCAATTCCAGCTGTTACTCAGCATGTACATGATACAAATATTTTGTCTTTGTAATTATGCAGGAAGTCTATGACTGGGCAGGATCTCTTGATGGCCTGCCACTACACTTCATAATACGGAGAAGGCAGCAAGTGGTGCGCCACCGTGAGCAATTACAGGGTCATGAGATCCTGGATGTAGGAGGAGTAAGTACTTCCTTAAATTAGGAGCAAATGAACAACATTTACTTTCACATCAGCTTGCCAATACTTTCTTGTCAAGACAGCAGCTACCTCCTCACTCATTCTTCAACTAAAAAGTACACTTTTTTTCTTTTGAAATTTATCACAGGAAGAAGAGGAGATAACTTCATCACTGCAATCGCAGGTAGGGAATGTAAGGTTCATGTACCTTGTACAGTCTCTAAATAGTAAAATTAGTTTAATTAGAGAATAGCCTAAACAAGGGGCATGATGTGCATTCCTCAAGACACTGGTGGCCATCTTAAGTAGTTCCAGCTCCATGTGAAAAGTGAAATGCCAATAACTTATCTTTACCCAGGGTACTATGGGCTAGAATTCTGCCAATTTGGTCATACAGATTTCTGTTGACAAAGGCCAGACCAGTTCCTTCTATGACAGAATAATTTATTACTCTTTATCTACTTCTTATACTTTCAAGAAGGGAATTAATTTGCTGTCTTGTTCAAGGCAGTTTGGTGGATGACGTCATGTGTCTCATGGGATAGCAAGAACTTGAGCTTCAGCATTTCTCCTCTCTACTTCCTCTTTGAGCTTCTTCTCATAGGACTGCTTGAAAGTCCAAACCATTCTTTCCTTCAAGGTGTGAATCTGTGGCCTTGAAGTGCTCAATGGCTTTTGAATTTTCCATTTTCACTAAACAATAGTGATTGCAATTTTCTCTTTTCCTTACTGCTGTTGAGGAATTCTCCAAATGGATATTTGCAATAAACACAACAGCCAATACAATGTTTTGCTACAAGACAGAGCCCAGCTTACTGATTTCTTAGATTTCGACACTTGGCGTAGACAGAAAAGCTCCTTGGGACTAGGCTCTCTGTTAGCCGCGACACTTGGGGTAGACAGAAAAGCTCCTTGGGACGAGGCTCTTTGTTAGCCGCGACACTTGGGGTAGACAGAAAAGCTCCTTGGGATGAGGCTCTTTGTTAGCCGCGACACTTGGGGTAGACGGAAAAGCTCCTTGGGATGAGGCTCTTTGTTAGCTGCAACACTTGGGGTAGATGGAAAAGCTCCTTGGGACGAGGCTCTTTGTTAGCCGCGACACTTGGGGTAGAAAGAAAAGCTCCTTGGGACGAGGCTCTTTGTTAGCCTCGACACTTGGGGTAGACAGAAAAGCTCACTGGGATGAGGCACTTTGTTAGCCACAACACTTGGGGTAGACAGAAAAGCTCCTTGGGACAAGGGTCTTCGTGAGCATTGACACTTGGGGTAGACAGACATGCCTCCCTCTTCACAAGCATTGACACAAACAATGTCACTTGTTCTATTGTTTAAGCAATTCCATGGATAGTAGCAGTCAGTTTTACTGTATAAAGTGTATGAAGTGTTTTAAAATTTGTAAATTTAATCAATGAAGGATGGTGTGATGCACAAAGGAACAATGTGTATTTTAATTATGATAGTTACGCAGGACTCCTTTGAGCAGCACACTTCCCTTCCCTTGTTTTACTTGCAGGTGTCCTTCTTTGGGAATTTTCCTGCCAACAACAACAACAACCTTTCTGCAACTGTAGTAGGTAAGAAAACCTTGATTTTCATTAACCTGTAAAAAAAATAGCATTCTTAGTGCACCAATGAAAATGCTTGTAGAACGATTACCACCCCCTGGTGATACATAGTTCATGATATGACAGTGACCCACAAAATATTATTTTGTTTGAATAATAACAAACTCAGGGTTTCAGCTAAACATAAAAATTGTGAACAAGAAACACATAGAACCAAGTAACTCAACATTTTCTGTATGATCATAGATGAAAGCCAAGCTGTGGGAGATGCAGAGAAAGAAGAAGGGACTAAGGAAGAAGATCAAGAAAAAAAGCAGGAAAAAGAAAAGGAAGAGGAAAAAGGAGTAAGTAATGAAGAAGAAAAATTGGAAAATGGAGATAAAGGAGGGAATGGAGGAATACCAGCTGGAGTGGTAGAAAAAGAACATGAGGAAATAAAAGGAGAGAGAGAAATTAAAGAAAAAGAACAAGGTACAAAGAAAAGAAGGAGGGACAGGAGGACAACAGCCAAAAGAAAGAAGGCAAAAAAGGACCCTTCAACATAAGAGAAATTCGGTAAGATTATGAGTACGCAGAGTGTAAAAGTGTGATACAGATAAATGCTGCAGCATTTAACACAAATTTAAACTCTTTATGTCATGCGTGCAACAGTGAAAAGCTTTCAATCAAAAGTCTGTCAAGGAAAAACAAGAATATCAAAAATGGATTATGTACATAGGCTAGTAACAGTTGGCTTTTGTTCCTGAAATCAAACATGCTGACAAGAGATTTACAATTATAATTAGCAGAACAATTCTATGATGATTTGTAAATACATTGATTTTGTTTTTGAAGGATTGTGACAGCACCTGGAATTGAGAACGACGAAAATGGCAGACTTCATATTAGTTAATTTATTATTCACCTCCTCAACTTGTATTAATTTCATGAACAGGTCATAAAATGTTCAATTCAGTTAAAAAAAAGTGAACTAGCATTTTAATAATGTCTAATTGTACCGCCCAAAATGTCTTCCTTGTGTTTTTTTGTCATGACTGCCAATTAAAGATATGGCTTTTGCAGTCTATAAAGAGGGCTAGGTCAGGGCGTTTAAAAACCAAGGTTAGATCAACAAGCATTGATTATTTTGTTAAAAGTGAACTGCTGCAGTTGTTTAATGGCTTTTTGGTGGATCTATTAACACATTCATAACTGGATTGAACATTTTAAGACCTGTTAATTATGGAAACCTCTTTGCTCTCAACTATCAAACCAATTCCTGAAAATTACTCACTTTTCACAAAATTGGCAAATCTGTCTTCATCTAGCAACATTTAATCAATCTGGATTCAAAAATACATTTCTCTCACTGATAAACACAGCTTGAACTGTACTTTAGCTTCTTTTAACAATTACAGTAGCCCGCCACACTTTCTTAATTTCGTGAAATGTCGTCAATCAACCATGGTCTCTGATAATGCATATGTTCAGTATAGTTAATATTATTCTTCTTAATATTTGATTGCAAGGGATGAACATACATTACTTTTCAGAATTTTTTTTGTCATATTCTCCAAAAGATTTTCATATTTCATTAGAGTTCTGTTCCTTTTCCTTGTTAAAAAAGACCAATTAAAATAGAAACACGAAAGTGTATTGAGCTTATATAATAAAAATAGAATGTGTGTATTGTTGCATGTTGTTATGTATACTTTTTTGTGGGGTAAACTTGGGGTTGGTAAAATGGAGGGAGACACTTTCTTATTACACAACTGAGATTTAAAATAACCGAGAAACGTACACTCCAAGATTGAGCTTAAGTTTGAAACTGAACAAAATGTTACTAGAAACTATGAACCAGCAACTCGGAACACCCTCCCGCAAAGAGCCAATGCTCACCTTAGTGTAAATCATTCTTTGCTCTTCTTCTGTCACTCTTCTTCTTTTTTTTCGAATTCGACTGAAAACATACTCCTAAAAAGTCCCGAATTCACGAACTAAACTCGACAAATTTGCCAGAAACATGACCACTCTCGCTCGTCCCATGCTCCCTCCCAAGTCTTGGTACCAGATTACCTCTCATTTGCTGAATGAAGATTAAACCGAGCTCGATACCAAATCGAGCTCAATATGAAACCTATAGAATGCGAGGCAAACCGTGCTCAATAGAATACGTGGCAAACCGAGCTCGATAAAAATAAATGAGGTCGATAAGAGCAGATTGAGTTCGTCGAGCTCGTCTTTTTAATCGAGCACGATATAGTTGAATCGAGCTAGAATAGAATTGACTGCATTTCGAGCTCATTGAACCGAGGTTGGTTTGAAATGGTACTCGAATTGCTATTCGAGTACGGTGAACATGAATCGAGCCGGGTGCCCAGATACTAAATGTGGTCCGCTTAAGCTTAGATCTCGGGACTTGAAGTAACTTATTCGAACAAGAACGCAAAGAGTAGGAGCCGGTACAAAAGCTGAGCAAATTGGATATATAACTTGGTGAAAGTCCATTGATAGCCTTATATACTAACAATAAGATTTTATGAGTAATACGGTATTCAACCAATGTAAATTGGTTGTATGGCAACCAATGTAAATCTATTAAAATGGGAGTTATATGTTCATACTTACCATTACGCTTCCCATGACTCCCACTCACAACTCTCAGCTTATTAGAAAGAAACACACTTAACGTTCCGTTGTATTCATGTGGAACAGTGCCCTTATATGGGACGATAAAACATGTGCTGCATACAGGTTTGCTAAGTGTCAATCAAATTGAGAATAATTAACGTATGGCACAGTTTCCAACAGCTCTAAAAATACGAGGTACAAAAACCCTCAACTTGTCGTGCAACATTATTTCGTTGCAAGTTTTGGTCGATGTTTCCCGTTTTTCACCGTGCATGATCAACTTCTTGATCAACAATTGTAACAAAATTAATTGTTATCGAATATTTTTTATCCCAAAAAAGTGAGCTTCTTGCGCAATGGAATGGAACCGAAAACATCTATGTCTGCCGTTCCTGATACTGTGTTCGTCTCTTTGTTATTTTTGTTTCGTTGGTTTTAACTTCAACTGGAGAAAAGATATCAAACGCAACGACTCTGAAATGGAAACGAAAATTCTCAGGATTTCGAGCATTTTTTTTGCTAATTACTCAGCAAAGTCTAACGTTTCTAATTCAAGTGCGTTGCTCTCTCGGAGAGATTCAGTGGCTGTCATTCATTCGGATCTGTCTTATTCCAGTGCGGTGAATAACAATACTCTCTACGTGTTGATTTTGCCCTTTTCAACCAAAGAGCTGGAAATTGATCGTGTACTGGAGGACAAAGACAAACATTCCGTGAGGATGTTGAGTGATTTTCTTCGTTCAAGGAAACAATTTCATGGTGCAACTTGTATGCAACAACAGGAAAGCCATGAAATGAAAGCCTCTGGAAATTTCACGTTGGATCAATCTTGGTGTCGTTTTGTGAAAAAAATGTGGAGCGTTCACATTAGGAATACAGGCCCTGTAAAAAACCTCACGCTACAAAAGTCTCTCTGGCTTGACTCCGACAATGAAACTGGGACAACTGACGCGCTTGTACAAACCTGCAATATAGTGCAAGGTCCATTTGTAATAAGGAAGAATGAGTTTCAGAAAATTGGAGGACTAATCGACGGTTTTGGGAAATTATCCTTACTGGAGTTTTTTCTACGATCAAAGGGCGAATTGAAGATTGCAAAGCTTGGTTCTTGCTCGTGGACACCCAAAATTAAGCGTGCGGATCGAGGAAATTTGAAAGGCTCAAAGGAGGTTCCTGAATATGCAAATTTTGCCAATAAACATACAGTTCTTCGGATCGTAACGGAGAATAGAATAGAATGGATGGCTTGTGTCGCAAACTGGAAGATGTGCCCGGAGAAACCCTACGTAGAGCCACGAGGTCTACCCGGCGTAGCTGCACCGATATGTTGCAGCACTGTTTTATGGAAAATGCTGAGCGATTTTGTGAGAGGGCTAAACAAACTGGGGCTAGAATACCGAATTGTTGACGGCACCTTGTTAGGGGCTGTCAGAAGTAAAGCGATCATACCATGGACATACGACGTAGATTTTGCATTAGCTGCCTCTGTGTATAAAAATACTTCAACGTATACTGCTCTTGAAAAGGTTCTCGAAAATCAATACTATATAGGTTGGTCTTTCATGAACATGCCCAGGGGGCATATTCTTGTGTCTCCGTTCATCGACGTAAATACAGCCCCTTATTTTGACGGGCCTGAAGACTTAGAAGGCAAAGCATTATTCAGTAGTGAACTGGAAGAAGCAGTGAAGGGAATGTTGCCAGTGTCTCAGCACTGGAGACAACGTGGCTATGTAGATTTTTATGAGGCAGGTCAAGCCCTGATGGAAGGATCGTCCAATGTCACCATCAACAATAAACAATTCGTGACTGTGAAAGATGTGGATAAAATGTTGAGTACAAATTACGGCAAGAACTATCGGCAACCAGCGCTGAAAGGAGAATGGTCAGGTTTGTCAGGTCAAAAGGGTCCCTGAACGAAATAACTTTGATATAGTCTAGATTCTAGGAATAATGCAGCGACGAGTTTGCGTCGGATTAGGGACCTTAAAAGGAGAAGGGACGACAAATCTGAGAAAAAATCGATTAAAAACGAATGTATCACAACAGGGTAGTTGTGTCAGAATCGGTCATTATGGTTCGCGATCTCAGAACACGCAAGTTTGGTGATTTCGGGAGTTGCTTAATGCTGAGGGCGGCTAAAATATGTATATTGTTTGAAAAATCACTTCCTGATCTGCACGGCTCTTTATTTAGCAGACATAACTAATTGATTGATCATCGACCATCTTGATTTCCATTTCTTACCATTGGTAATTATTTCCTTTTAAGTGATGTTCCATGCATTGTTTCAATATACAATAGAGTATACACTTTAGAATATCGTGAGTCACTGATAGGTAGTTTGTTCATGACATCGAATAATAGGCCATACATGTCTCTTCAAAATTCTCTGACCTTATCAAGAAATGGTCTATTGTTCCGGCTCAACTTCTCACATTAAGTCTTAAACAATAACCCTTTTGTTATTTGTATTGCTGAGGGACTAGTCCGTGACTAATCGGAAAAAAATTGTCGGAGTATTTTTATCCTCTCTCTGCGTAATTTTTTTTTTATCGCACAGTTTGTTAAAATGCTCATGATAAACAAATTGGACTTCAGCTGCGCGGTCGTCCCATTTTGTTATCACCTGTTACGGGAAAATTTACTGATTTTCCCGTGTGTGTTATTCGGAACATATTTATTCGTAAACTTTCACATTTAGCCATTTCAAGTCCTTTCATTTTAATAAATCAAAAAATGCATAAAAGCCACGGTAGCTTTTGAATAGATTTTTGTTGTTACTCGCTTTCATCATATGCACCTGCTTGTCAGCACTTTTGTCATTTATTTTATTTTATAAGTGTTAATGGTCTTTCTGGAAACATTGGTTTTCATGGTAGATAGCAGCTGAGTTTATACTCGTAACTTTAATTTCTTTTCATGCGATGGTTTCCAAACCAGCCTTGCATAGATAAGCAGAAACTTTTAATTGCTTTTCCGTTTTTTATTTCCTGAGCTGCTCGCTCGAAGTAGATCTCCGTGTACCAGGAAATCGTGACGAGTTTCCGTTCTCGCTGCCAAGTCGTCTCTACAGAGTTATTTTCCCCAGTTGTTGTTGTTCCGTCCGCGAAGAGTCAGTTGTCCAGTTTGGGCGCGAAAACCTATCGTCACACACCCCTATGATAACAGATCGAATTGGACTCCACTAAGTCCTATTACCATTACTAATTAATTAATTAATTAATTAATTAAGTCTGACTTGCGTAGCGCGCGCGCGAGATTTGAACTGCTTCTGGCAGAAGTGTTTTCAAATTGTCAACTTAACTACAATTGTTGTTTGTTAACACAATTGGAATTAATACAGTTGCAGTGATTAAGAATTCAGAAGAAAGCTTTAAAATTTTTTATGCTTATTCAGGGATTTGCATGGGATGCCCCACTCATTTGGGAAATGTACCTTGCTTACCATTGAAGGAATTGAAAACCTTGTATCATATTTGCAAATTTCCTGCTTTCAAATCCTTTTGAAATTGAAGTCTTTGTCGGAGATAATGAACTTGATTTGGAGAATCGAGGTTCTTGCAACAAGATTGAATAGAAGAGAATTCTAGTAAGAATGCATTACATTTGAATGTCTTGAGAAGAAATCCAATTTCAGAAACTCTTGCCACAAGTATCTGTGATTCTTTTCTCAAGAACGAGAATTCTCCTTAGTAGGCAATGAAGTAGAGAGTTCTCCTGGAAAGAATGTTTAATTGTAAATCTTATGAATAGAATTGCAATTTCAGAAACTCTTGCTATGAGAATCGGGAATCTTTTTTCTGAAGAATGAGAATTGTTTTTGGCAGGCAATGAAGTAGAAAGTTCTTCTGGAGAGAATTTTTAATTGGAAATCTTATAAACATCATCGCAGTTTCAGAAACTCTTGCCACAAGAATCGGGAATTCTTTTTCTCAAGAACGAGAATTCTTTTTGGCAGGCAATGAAGTACAAGGTTCTTTAGAAATAATGTTTCATTGCAAATCTTATGAAAATAGTCGCAATTATAGAACTCATTAGATAAGAGGCAAAATCTCTTAAAACTAAAATTTTACTAAGTTAACTTTTATAGGTAGTAACTTTGATAATTATAGACCTAATTGTCTGATAAAGTCTGCTTGTGTGTGGTGCAAGTGTCCCAGGGAGCAACGGTGGGACACAAGCAAAACATGGTCAATTAATGACCCCAAATTTGGTGCTAAAACTGTCACCAAAAAATCGAGGTTTTCCACTGGAAAGAAATTAAACTGTAAGGCGCAACCATTATTTGATTTTATATCTATGGACCATGTCATCATAGATACATTACATTTTTTTCTGAGGATTTCAGATGTTTTGATTGACTTGTTCATAAGAGAGCTGAGAAGAAGTGATGCTATTGAGAAAAAAAAACCTCTGATGGATTCCCAAGGGATAAATATATACATGGCATGTTATGAAGAATTTATCAAAAGTATGGGAATCACTTTTAATTTTAGAATCAACAAAGAGAGCAAAAAGCTGGAATATAGAGATCTTACTGAACCAGAAAAGTTGGAACTCTTCCAGAATATAAACATTCCGACCTATGCTTGTCCCTCATTGCAGTCAAAACAAAGACATACAAGTGATCTGGGCTAAATTTATGGACATAATTGGTGATTTGAAGCTAGATTTTACATCTGAAGAGGGTATTCTTGAACTGCAAAGAAATATCAAATCATGGTTTGAGCACTTTCTCAAAGTTTACCAAGCAAAAGATGTCACTCCCTACATGCATGCACTATGTTATCATGTTCCTGAGTTCCTGTAACTTTATCAGAACATAGCATATTACACACAGCAAGGCTTGGAAAAATTCAATAGTAGAGCTTCTAAAGATTTCTTTAGATCCACATATCACAAAGGGGTTGATGCCCTCAAACAACTGTTTCTGAAGAAAAACAGGATTCAGTTCCTGGAGGCAGCAGGTTATGAAAGGGTTAAGAACACCTACAACGATGAACTTGTATTCAATGATTGGACTTCTTTGTCCCAGCCAATACTTAATAGTTCCTGGAATTACATAGGCAAAATCTCCAGCTACATTTAAAATTCTTTCATCCCACTTCAGCCACAGATATGAATCAGGCACCCTATTTGACTCCAACTGGTAAACCATCTTCCCTCATTGAAGAACGCCGGTCAAAACACTCCCAAGACCTTCCATGAAAATATCTTGGTCAACATTAAGGTCTATGTTTATATCAGGGTCCTCTCGCCGTCCAGACCAAAGCTTTTTCTTTATTTCACGAACAAGTTGGCCATGGAACGATTCTTTTCTATCCTCCAGAGAGTTTTCCGAGGGAATGAACAGCTTTTCGCTGCGAACAAACGGAAAATATCCAGATCCTCTATCGGCCCTGAAGGGTGTCCATTCATCGAAGCATGTGCTATAGCCAACGTAATGAATTTTCAACCTCTCTTGTTGATTTTGTCAACCTCCCTCAGTTTTGTATCTTTCTATCGTGGATTCGCCTTTCTAACGGGGGTGTGTGTTAAGTATTTATTGTAAAATCGCTTTGCTTCTTTATTTCCCTCTTTGACCTGTCCGCCATTTTGAAAATTCGCAACGGAGAGCATGCGCATTACTTAGGGTGAGTGGTCGCGTACACCTGGAACCGAGAAAAACAAATGTTCGTCGCGCTGGGGAAAGAGTTGGATATGATAAGTTAATTATATTTTATGTGAATTGTATGTTGAAAAAATAGATTTAAGGAAATGGGGTATGATTTGAAAGTGATATGACAGTGAATTTTTTTGATATAGCAAATGCTGGTATAGTTGATGCATACATTATAAATACGTGAGTTAATTTTATGTTATGTTGATTGTATGCTAAAAAATAAACCAAATAAATTGAGATTCTTTTCAGAGTAATTTACTGTGTTAGAGGAAAGTCAATCATTTCAATAACTCAACAAAACCCAGTAAAGGCATAAGATTCTTCTCAATAGAATATTCAGACCTCAGAAGAGCACAAAGACTTAATCAGCAAGAATGATTCTTCACACAAGAAGAATCTGAAATGATAAATTCTTTTCTGAAAAGACATGAACCTTTCAGAAAGAATTTAATTTCTGTTCAAAAGAATTGAACTTAAGAGTAATTTGGAGTGAATTATCGCGGCTACGATTATTTTTCGTTTTCCCAGGGAATCGTTCATGCACCTACCGCACGGTTGTAATGTAGCAAAGCTTAACAGACTTTATCAGACAATTAGGTCTATAATTATCAAAGTTACTACCTATAAAAGTTAACTTAGTAAAATTTTAGTTTTAAGAGATTTTGCCTCTTATCTACTGAGTTCTATAATTGCGACTATTTTCATAAGATTTGCAATGAAACATTATTTCCAAAGAACCTTGTACTTCATTACCTGCCAAAAATAATTCTCGTTCTTGAGAAAAAGAATTCCCGATTCTTGTGGCAAGAGTTTCTGAAACTGCGATGATGTTTATAAGATTTCCAATTAAAGATTCTCTCCAGAAGAACTTTCTACTTCATTGCCTGCCAAAAAATTTCAAATCTCCATCTAAAAAGTATTCAATTTTATAGGTGCAATTATTTGCACTTATCTCCTTTAAGTTTGACATTTCCATTTGAAGGTCTGCTAGGCTGTCTCTCAGATTATCATATGTCTCTGTAGTTTTTATAACAGCAAGTATATAATTTCCCTTCACACCCATTGCCACATCCTTTTCATGGAGAATAGTAAAAGTGAAGTTGACAACTGTAAGCCCCTTTCAAATATTTGTAGCATCACCACTAAGCTTGATCTTAATAGTTTCTCCATCATTGATTTCTCCATTCTTCTGAAGCCTAACAATGTGCTCTTGCAAGCTTTCTGCAAATCCTAACCGAACACCTTCAGCATCTCCTGGTGTTGGTTTCAAGTTCCATTTACTGTTTAGCTCATTAATTTGCTTCTTGATGGAATATATATTGGGGAGATCATTAGCCTTAATGGCAATTTCATGCCAGGCCTCATTTGAAATAATGAATTTATCTTTGAGGTAGAGCCACATATTTATGTTATCAATGTCATCATTATTAAGGGCCTTTGGGTCAGACTCTGTAAATGGCAGCTCTCCCTCTCCAACAAGATTGAAAGTTTCATATTGATTAGTCTCAGTGTTGAGGACTTGGTTGCAACAAAATTGTACAGCCCAAGAAAGGAGAGTGTAGTTTGGCAACTACTACTCTTTTGATGGTGCTTGGAATAGTCATTAAACTTCTTCTTAGCTGGGCCTCTACCTTTTTTCCCATTTGTAATCACTTTTTGGCCAACTGAATAAATTTGTTAGTGTAGAAACGCCATTTGACGAGGGTAAATCTGCTTTTTGTTCGACACTTTACATATCAAAACAAAGGAAATTTGTTCCTCTTTTCGATTCTGGCGGTACATTTTTAAATTGCGCTTGCGTAAAAGGGATATAACCCGAGACGCTTCGCTCGGTTGTGTTTTGAACAAAAACGCCTTGTTAATTTCACGCAACCGCTCGGAGAAAAGGTTAAAATGACGAGGGAAAAGCTTTACCTTCAAGTTAGAAAATTAGCGAAATAGAAAGCCACAATATTGTAGTTTAATATTTCAGAGGTACATTGAGTGCTTTTTCCGTAGAGAATCCGCACGATGGTAAAATGTTCGAAAATTACACTCGATTTGAGTGGGGCGTTGAAGTGGGCGTGGTCACTATATTCATGTTAAGACTATTTGTACCCCGTGAGTTTGATATGATTCACAACAACATGAGGAACACCATTCTAAATTCCCTAAATAGCTTATTCTCCTCCTAAGAACCAAAATTCTTATCAAAATAATCATTTCATTGCGATTCTTTCAAGGAGAATCGAGGTTCTTGAAACAAGAATGAATAGAAGAGAATTCTTCTGGTAAGAATGCATTACGTCTGAATATCTTGAGAAGAATCTTTCTATTTCAGAAACTCTTGCCTCAAGAACGAGAATTCTTTTCAGCAGGCAATGAAGTAGAGAGTTCTTCTGGAAAGAATGTTTAATTGCAAACCTCATGGATAGAATTGCAATTTCAGAAACTCTTGCTACAAGAATCGGGAATTCTTTCCCGCAGGCAATGAAGCAGAGAGTTCTTTTGGAAAGAATATCTAATCGCAAATCTTACGAACAAAATCGCAATTTCCGAAACTCTTGTCACAAGAGTCCGGAATTCTTTTCCTCAAAAACAAGGACTCTTTCTGGCAAGCAAAGAAGTAGAAGTTTCTTCTGAAAAGAATATTTAATTGCAGATCTTATGAAAAGAGTCGCAATTTCAGAATTCATTAGAAAAGAGGCAGAACCTCTTATGACCAAAATTTTATTAAGTCAACTTCTACTGCTGGTAACTTTGAAAATTATGGACCAAATTATCAGATGAAGTCTGATAAAACTTTGCTACAATACAGCAGTGGAGTAGTTACGTAAACGATTCGCTGGGAAAACAAAATATGATGTCGTAGCCGCGATAATTTACATTAAATTTTCATGTGAACATTCACAACACCAAAATTAATAACTTTGGAAGCGAAAGACTTATCTGGAGGCTTGAGCAGTTCCAAAATAGTCCTTAAATTTCTGTCATTGGAATGTGTCGTGCTAGCCAGCAAGGGAAACGATGTTATGTCCTTGGTAACCGCCCTATATCCCGAAAATATTCGGTCGCGCGGGCTAAATAAACGTCTTCATCGCATAAACTGCGGTGTTAGACAGAGATATCTGGCCCTGAGAAAAGCCGTTCAACACATGTGAAAAAATGTCGTATTTTTTGCACGTGTGCAAAGCCTTTACGATTCTCAATACAAATTGTTTGTCGGAGCATCTTCGAATTATGGCGGTTAAAATAGTAAAAAGTACATATTGCTGACAGAAAGTGAAGAAAACCAATATACTAAACGAAAAACCGAAAATTACGTATTTAGTGGCTTTGGTGTTGGCATTTCTGCCAGCTGAGAATGAAAATCGATAACTGGAAGATTTGTCACTAGCCTATTTTGGCCGTTTACCTAAAATACTTCTTCTGTCGGTATGGACAAAGTCAATAAATGAGAGTTTTGTAAATTGAGAATTACGACCATTATTGTTTTTAATCATGATTCAACGCATTTTTCCATCTTAAGAGTTCGCGCCAACGTACTCTACGATTTTTATTCGGGGATTGTCGATTTATTTATTTTCATTCATTAATGAAGTCGGCTTTTCTCCTCAGTAGAGAGCTATTGTGTTTATATATGATAAACAAAATAATACATGGTTGCCTGTAGATATGAAATTTCTCTTCTTGTGTTACACTCGAAGAGAAATTCCAATTATAACATAGCGCGCGTGCTTGCCCTGCATAATTCCTATTGAGCCGCTATGAACAAAATTTTTATTTACGCACGCCCGTGCGTAAATAAGAGACGTGAGCATTATTTTTACCTGGATTCAGAGTTTCCGTCCTGTTAAGCTGCAGTGCAGTTTTCCTTCTCTTTGAAATATGGAAGAAACCAGCGAAGGGCTGCCCTATTCTTCTATCGGCATTGACCTTTCAGGTCCTCATCCAACAAGCAACAAAAATATAAAGCCGAAAAAAACTCGCGAGTAGTTTCGGTCTTTGAAATCATATTTAAGTGACGCTTGAGTTCATTTGGCTTTGATTTTCTCCATTTTTCGAGCAAATTTTGAACTTTTCATTCACAGTTATCGGTTAACTGGCTCAAATGTTCTCGCTCAAACCAAAGCATAAAATGTGGCGTGTTTTTACCAGCCAATAGGGACGTTTGTTTACTTTTTTTGCGCGTTGTGAGAATTTTGCACTTTATCACAATAAAAGGCTTCTTCGCGCAGATCCTTGTTGTCGCTCTGTTATAAAAGAATTTGCCCATGCTTTTAACTGTGTGTATAGAGCACTCAAAAAGCAAGGGTTGCTCTCGGCTGCGCCTCGAGCTACTCTTACGCATTTTTCGTGCTCTCCAAACTTTCCGCGTGCATCCATCACTCGATATACGCACGCTAAGCATGGAAAAAATTCTTAAATCCACGCGCGCCCATGTATTGTTCTCGATTTAAAGGCTTTCGGAAAAGGGCGCCGAATAGCATGTTGTCGTTGCCTTGTTTCGATCTCATATGAGGAAGGAGATTTCAGCGGCCAATACTGCTTTACGCTCTAAGGCTAACTTGTACGTTTGGAGGGCATCCTTCGATCGGTCGATACTGAATTATTGTGACAAGAACCTACCTGAAACTCAGAATACTCCTATTAAATCACTCTGTATGAACCCAGATTTGAATGCCCTCCTAACGTACAAGTTAACCTTGGAGCGGTGGGTAGTATTGGCCGCTGAAATCTCTTGAGAGCGAAACAAGACAACAATAACCTATTACTTGGCGCGCTTTTTCAGAAGCCGTTAAGAACGTTGATTGAGCCCGCGCAACAGAAATCGGATATAGGGCGGTTACCAAGGGAATAGCATCAACCGCGTTTCTCCTGCGAGCTAATACAACAGATTCTAATGACAATAATTTAAGAACCATTATGAAACTGCTCAAACCTCCAGATAAGTCTTTCGCTTCCGAAGTTATTAATTTTGGTGTTGTGAATATTCACGCGAAAATTTGATATAAACTAGACCCTGTGAGCAGGGTAACTGGGATACCTGGATGGTACAGGATCCTTGAGATCAAGTGTAGTGAAATAGTGAGCTCAAGTCTGGCCAAGGGCATACACCTATTTCAAAAGAGGTTGTCACCAGGTGATAGGTCATTCCAAGACGGTAAGGAATCATGAGTATACAACTCAGTAAATAGTTCTTGCTGAGTGTTGTACATTTGTTTTTTTAACTGGATAAAAGTTTTTCTGTATTGTATTCTGTTACAAACAGAGCACATATAACATGAACCTTCCCTAATCTTACTTTGAAAAGCTGTGATTCTATGATCTAAATCATGTTAACCTGAGTTTCTATGGCCTTCCTTATTAGATTGGACTTGTGATATAATCTTATCTTTGTCTGCAGGATCCAGTATTTTATATCAGGATTCAATGACTTATACCATCCTGCTTTTTTTTTCGTTTTTGTGCAGAATTGAGCAAGTTAAACCATACAGCTCTATTTTGTTTTTGTGCAGTATCCAGTGATTTATACCAACTTGCTCTGCTAGACTAAAGATATTGTTTTTCTGCAGAACCAAGGGATTTATACCAATCTGCTGATTTGGACAAAAGCTTTTCTTTTCCTTTAGGATCCAGTGACTTGTACCATATTGTTTTATCAGACAAAAGTTTTTTCTCATGGCAGGTTCCATTTGTGTATAGCTTTCTTTTTTCCTGTTTGCATGTAGTTCTTTCTGACTATAAGGCTGTTTTGCCATTGCCTTTTGTCTTCCAGCATTTGACAAATTAGTTGAACAACATATAAATTTAATACAATATTCTACATCTTTACTCTGGAAATGTTTTTTCACAATATCCACTTATGACTGAATAAGAAAACTCTATGTCATTCATTTTTTCAAATATATCAAGTGTGCCATTAGGACTGAATCTTTTAATCTGGGACTGAATCTTGTAATATAGTACTCAACAATTTTGGTTTTATTTTCATATTATTATGCTGAAAAGAACAGCTGAAGCAATAATTTAAATTCACATTAAAAACCCAGTATTATCTATAGTATTATCTGTGATTAACTTATGAAGCAATAATTTGCTACCAAGAGATGTACAGCATAGTATTCCTTGTTTCTCTAAATTAAAGGTAATATTAATATCTGCATCATACATTTGAAGTGTCCTTGGGAAATTGTTGATATTCAGTGGATGGTTATCGCCACTGAGTTTTTATTTGTAAAGTTTGTATGCATGGTCAGTGTTCCATCTAGAGTCTTTGCAATGGCAATACCCACAATATTTGATAATGGAAAAACAAATGTCATAAAAAGATGTGGTACAACAGCATAACAAGGGAATATGAATGGTTGTAATTTCAGCATGTGCATGATTTGCTTTGAGGGGGACAGCTGACAACTGTTGATCAGAAATATCTGTCATGTGACATTATTTTTCATTGATATGTACATCTTTGAGTTCAAATAAAACATTTGGATTTTGATAAAGACCTTGAAAATAGTTTATCAGCTCATTTAAGGTGTTAACTTCTAACAGTACACAAGTTCCTTGAGGATGGGGCAAACCATATGAATCTCTACCATAAGAATCAAATATCTTAAACTTACCATCACCATTACAGTAAAAACCTACTGTAGTACCAAGGATTGTTAAAAAAAGGAATTATAATTTTGTCCTAGCAAAGCCTGCATAGCATTAGCAAATGACATACAATAATTGAAATCTTGTACTTCACAAGTACCATGTATAGTACCAGTATAGCTTGGACTATATTAAAGCTGATAATTAATATTAAACACTCTCATCATTTTAGGTACTTCTGTTAACAGTAACTAGGATTGCCTGGATAGACTAGATAGACTAAAATACAATTCATTACTAATGTTCATGATATTTACTTTCCATTGAGGATACAATAGCTACACTGTGTATTGCCACATTGTCCTGACTGAAAGGAGCTTGAATTGTTTTAGAAGAATTAATAACAGGACCAGGGTTTGTTTCTATATCCCCAGACAGATTGGACTTAAAGTGATTTACCCTGTGATTCAGATATTTATAAACATTTAGTACTGAATTAGACCTCTATGCATTCGACTGCTTTAGCTTTGGACTTTTTATTAGATGTGGATATTGGTTCTGCATTTTCAGTATCCTGTACTTGTTAGACTTTCGATTTTATCTCCTGACTGCAGAAGAGGGATATTTCGTTCTTCCTTTATTCTCGCATCTGATTCCATATGCATATATTTTTCACGAGCTTTACTTGTAAAAAGATGCATTCGGGAAGACTTCAGTATGCTTTTTCTGATGTAGGTTCGAAGTAAACGTCTCACCTTCCTGGATTTCTCCAATTTCTCTCCAAAATACGTGAAATTCTTTTCTTTGGTATTCTGCTGGGCTCACGATCACAAACATGAATACCATGTGTACGAGGGCGATTAAAATAAACAAATTTGTCGTATCGAGATCTACAGTTACAGACTGTATTTGTTGAAAATGCTTCATTATTTCTATCATTAAGCTTATTATCATATACAAGAACGGATAACTGAGCAGCTTTCTCAAAGACGTTATATTCATCGAAGCTATTCACGGCAGCTTTTGATGAAGACATCAACTTTACGTAGAAATTAGCCCACGAGACAATTGCGGAAACAATGGATAACGTGATAACATCATAAAAAACAAAGGATTTTGGATCATGTATTTATTAAAAAAGAATATTCGTACAACTTCAATGAAAACAAACATAAGATTCACCTTTCTGATCGTGAAATTAATATCATTCGTACTGTTATCGTAGTTACGTTCCTTGGTAGCTTTCAGGAATTTCGCACGTTTCCTCAAGTCGCGGTCTTCGAGACGATGTGGCTCTAGCTCAGTTAAAATGTTAGCATTCAGAAACAGTAAGGAGTTAGGTGTTAGTGTAGGGAATTGTGGGTCATCCTCCACGTAACTAAGAGGTCGATGGTTAAGCGACACTTCGATGTCAAGGACTACCTCGCAGAGGTCGTCCCAGCTTAGTAGACCTGACCCATAGACGTTTAGAATGAAGACTTGAATAAGCCAATAAGTCTTTCGAAGTGTCCTCCCCACGATGGCGCTCTACGCACATTAAAGCGAGAAGTAAAGGATTGATCACTCGAGAATGAGTGGAACTTCTCATCCTCCTTGACTTTCGTCAGCCACTTTGCCGTAGAGATGTTGGATTGGGCGTTCCATGAATCCTCTGCCTGCTCTTAATTTCGCTGCCCTAACAACACCATCTCGTCCGGTGAATAATTCTTCTATTACCCACATGGGCCACTGATTTCGGTTTCACTCGTCCGACTTAATGATAACAACATCTCCTACGGACAAGCTGTTAAGTTTGGTGTTATGTTTAAGTTGATGTCTCTCTCTCAAAGCTCTAAGGTATTCCGTGGTCTAACGACGCCACATTGTATCTTTGGTAGCTTTCAAGAATTTCAATCTCAAGTCTCGTTCTTCGAGACGATGTGGCTCGAGCTCAGGTAAAATGTTAGCATTTAGAAACAGTAAGGAGCTACGTGTTAGTGTAGGGAATTGCGGGTCATCCTCCACGTGACTAAGAGGTCGATGGTTCAGCGACACTTCGATGTCAAGGACTACCTCGCAGAGCTCGTCCCAGCTTAGTGGACCCTTACCCTCAGACTTGTAGAATGAAGACTTAAATAAGCCAATGAGTCTTTTGAAGTGTCCTCCTCACCATGGTGCTTGCATAACCTCAGCATGCACAGCAGCACACACACCGTGAATACTTGCATCACCAAATGTATGAAGTTTAATGTTGTCGATCGGTTCCTGGTACTGAACAAGACTGCAAGGAAAGTACACATCATCCGGTGCATTTCCTCTTCCATTTTAGCCACCATTTCGCAATCCCCTCGGGAAGTGGGGTATCTCAGCTCAACTTCATCTCATTGGCTTCTCGATAGATTTTTTTCCCCTCCAACATTACAGGCGACACAAGTCCTAAGGAGTCATAAATCTTCGCTAAGTTGGCGAAGATGCCCCGTTTGGTCAATTTAGCAGGCTGAGATGG